CAGGGAGTGTAAACATGATCAAAACAGGTGAAACTCACAAGAACTGTAACTATGGTAACCACTGCATTGTTTACCTCAGACTATAAAAGGTCGGTGCGGACTGAGCACGGGTGGAAGTCCTTCCTCTTGAGTTGGACTTACCCGCCTAGTCCCCCAATATTTCCAAATTATCTCTTGTCTTTTCTATTTCATTTGTGTGTGGCTCCTCTTCCAGATATTGAACCCTGAACCACGCGGGACGTGGAGGGAAACATTTACGACAACCCAGTGAGAAAATTTTGAAGGGAAACACTGAAAAATAGAAGCAAGAAATTTTCTAAACCATTTTAAGAAAGAAAATGCAAAAACAACAATAACAAAACAACAACAACCTGTCAAAGTCAGAAAAAAAGGCAAGAAAATATGGTAGATCAAAACATAAAATTATAGTCCTGGTCAGTTTGGTTCAGTGAATAGAGCATTGGTCTACAGACTGAAGGGTCCTAGACTCCATTCTGGTTAAGGGCATGTACCTTTGTTGTAGGCTGGATCCTCCAGCCCTGGTTGGGGCATGTGCGGGAAGCACTCAATCGATGTGTTTCTCTCATATCGATGTTTCTCTCTCTGTGTCTCTCCCCCTCCCTTCCACTCTCTCTCAAAATCAATGGGAAAAATTCCAAATTCCTTATTTTACCTGCTCCGTGCGTGCTAGACTCCAGCCTCCTAAGAGGGATCACTCGGAGCCCTGCGGTGGTCTCTGCCCACTAAGGGGTCTGCCGCTTGGAAGAGGTTCTGCGCGGGAGAAAAGCTGGGGGTGGAGGAGTGGAGGGGTGGAGAAAGGCATTTTTGGTCCCTCCCCCCTGAGCATGTTACCTTTGCCTTTCCCTCTCCTAAGCTCCAGGGGTTCTTCTTTTGCCTCTGTAAATTGTTTCCTGAGCCTATGCAGCCCAGCTGGCTCACTTCTACTACCTTGTAACTTTCTAAATAAACTTTCTCTTATAATTTGGAAAAAAAATCAATGGAAAATATCCTTGGATGAGGGTTAAAAACAAACACCCCCCCCCCATAAAATTATATAGCAAAAATAAATTATCCTATCTAATAAAGAGGGAATATGCTAATTGACCCTCATGCCATCACAAAGATGGCGGTGCCCACAGACAATAAGGAGGGAATATGCTAATTGACTGCCCCACCCTCAAACATGGCAGCACCCACAGCCACAAGATGATGGTGCCCAGTCCCCTCAGCCCCACCGGGGTGCCTGCCTCCTGAGTTCCCCAGTCCCCTCAGTCTCCCAGCCAGCCAGGGCCGGCCTGAGGTGCAGGCAAGCCTCAGATGGCGGCTGCCCAGCCACCCAGGGCCAGCCCAAGGTGAAGGCAAGCCTCGGATGGTGGCTGCCCAGCCTTCCAGGGCTGCACAAGGCTCTGGTAACGAGGGCCGGCTGAGGCTTGTGCTGCCGGCAGTGGCAGCAGCAGAGGTGTGATGGGGGCATTGCCTTCCCCTGATCACCAGGTCGTCTGCTGCCCCTCAGGGCTCCCGGACTGTCAGAGGGGGCAGGCTGGCCTGAGGGACCCCCCTCCAGTACATGAATTTTCATGCACCAGGCCTCTAGTCCTATATAATAAAAGGCTAATATGCAAATTGACCAAATGGCAGAATGACCAGTAGCTATGACGCACACTGACCATCAAGGGGCATATGCTCAAAGCAGGAGCTGCCCCCTGGTGGTCAGTGTGCTCCCACAGGGGGAGCATAGCTCAGCCAGAAGCCAGGCTCACGGCTGGCAAGTGCAGCAGCGGTGGCGGGAGCCTCTCTTGCCTCTGCGGCAGCACTAAGGACCCCTCAGCGGACATCCCCTGAGGGGTCCCAGACTGTGAGAAGGCACAGGCCAGGCTAAGGGATCCCCACCCCAGTGCATGAATGTCATGCACCAGGCCTCTAGTAGTATTAATAATATAATAAATGTGAATAGTAAATAGGTTTAATTCTACTAATAAATGGACAGAAAATCTTAGGTTGGGTAAAAAAAAAATCCAGTTAGAAGCTGTTTATAAGCCATGGTCATATATTTAAAACAAAACAACACCAAATCTATATACATATAAAAGCCTAAGCAATCGTTATGACCGGTCAACCAGTCACTATGATGCCCAATGACCACTTATCCCTTCTGGTCAGGACTCATTTCACAATAATAAAAATGAGGAAGTTAGGAAGGCTGAAAGAAGCGGAAAGGGAGGAGGCATATACTGGAGGAGGAGAGCAAAGCTGGCTTGATAGCTAACACCCCAAACACACAGTCTCAGCCTGTGATCTGATGATTATTTACTGCCCAAAGTCAAGGAAATGAGAGATCCCAGAGTATAGACTCCTGGGCTTTCAGACACAGAGACCAGCAGGACTCCAGTCATTTATTCGACTCCTCCCCCAGGCACCTCTACCCAATTCTCCAGGATTTCATTTTATCCAACTCTGCTCATTGTTGCGTGGCAAACCCAAGAATCACAGCCTCCAGACTTCGCACAGGTAACTGGGCTGGGGATGCAGGTGAGACCAAGGGGACAGGGAGGGTGTTAGAGAAAGCAGGAAGAAGGAGCTGTGGGTCTCAAGAGAGATGGAATACAAAGAGATATAAAAGGGCAGCTTGGAGATTTAGTGGCCAAGTAGAAATTTTAGACTCTATTCACTTAACTGGATTCAGGTTGAAATATGACAGCCAAACCTCGGTAACAAACTGAGACTCACTCAGCCCCATCTTTAGCCCCAGCCTAACCTCGGTCCTAACCTCATTAGAAACACCATCTTCTCCTTTAACCCCCAAACATAGCTTCAGCCCCAAAGTCAACATGAATCTTAACACAAGCCCCAAATTGACTCTCTTCTGTTTCCAACTTCAGGTCCAAGCTGAAGTATTAACCAAGATCAAAGAAGGAGATGCAAACTCAATTGCATCCCCAATGTTAGACCCAATCCTAGTCACATATTTAGCTCCAATTTTACCTTCACCTTCATTCCCACACTCAATCTGACCCCAGCCCAGAGACCAATCCTGACCCCACTTCCAACCTCTGCTGCAAACCTAGGCCCATTCCCATTCCTCTCCCTAACCCTTGGCTCATCCTCAACCTGAACTTCTCTTACCTCGACATCATCCCTGACTTCAGCTCCAACCTCCTCCATCCCCTAACTCCATGGTCGGCAAACTGTGGCTCACGAGCCACATGCGGCTCTTTGGCCCCTTGAGTATGGCTCTTCCTAAGCCTTAGGAGTACCCTAATTAAGTTAATAACAATGTACCTACCTATATAGCTTAAGTTTAAAAAATTTGGCTCTCAAAAGTAATTTCAATCGTTGTACTGTTGATATTTGGCTCTGTTGACTAATGAGTTTGCCGACCACTGCCCTAACTCCATCCCTAGCCTGGTCTCTGGCCCTGCCTCCATTTCAGAGTTGGTTCAAGGATGTCAGTGAAGTATGAAGACCTCCAGGCCTTGGAGAGTGAGAAGAAAAGCCAGGGTTCTAGAAATGGTAAGAGGAAAGGAGAAATGGTGTCTTCTAAAATACTTTTCTTAATATGTTTAGAAGGATATCTGTTGTCATGGTACATCTGCACCTCTACCATGTGCACTGCTGGGCTCTCCCACTCTGAGGGGGCTCCCGTATGAAGAGGATTCACAATCCTCTGAAGGACAGGATCAGGGTGGACCAAAGCAGTCCTGGCTGCTATACCCTGGGGAAGGTCATGAGCATTTACACTGGGAGAGTGAACAGTCATGTTTGGAAGAAAAACGGTGGCTAACCTGACAATACAGATAAGCATGAGCCTGCTGAGGGCCTGGCTGCCCCGGCTCACTCTGTGTCCTCCTGCCCCCTGTTCCAGGCATGATGATAAGACCTTACATGTCATCATGTGTTTCCGGGAGAGAGGGGGTCTGTGTGACTGAGAACTTGTGCTGGTCCATGAGGGGTCAGAAGCCTGGGCATCTCCTGCACCACAACCTCTCCCTAGCTTTACCTACACCACTCTTCATCCCTGACAGGTCCCTGTGGCCCTCTGCTCCTCCCCTGTGTCTCTCCTGTCCTCAACCTCCATGTCCTGATGTCCTCTACAGGGCCATGTCCTCCCCAAGCCTTCCTCAAGCGTCTCTGCTCTGTACCCTGCCTCCTCCTGCTCTTCCTGGGCCTCAGCCTCTTCCTGCTGGTCGATATCTGCATAATTGGATCCAAAAGTGAGTGTCCCAGGATGGGCAGGGAAGGGGGCGATAGTGGGTACAGTAACCCAGGCACTGATGATGATCATGGTGGGTAAAGGCGGCTGCTGGCTCTGTTGCTTACTCATGGGTAATGTAGTCCAAGTGCCTAACCTCTGGAAGCCTGAGTTTCCTCTCTGCAAGCTAGGATAACAACAGTGCCTGTCCCTTGAAGTGGGGTGGCTGTGAGGACCCAATGAGCCAATGTATGTCAAGTGCCCTGCTGAGTGTCAGCACAGAGAGGACTGAGCAATCTTAGCTCTCATTGTCCCACCTGCCTGATCAGATGCCAAGATTCAAAGTGATGTGGAGACCCTGAGAGCAACTTTCAGCAACTTCACTTCCAACACGATGGCTGAGGTCCAGGCACTGCACTCCCAGGGTGAGCCTGGCTGGAAGGGGCTCTGGATGGGAGGGGTCGTGCTGGGGGAGGGGGTGCTGAATCCTGAGCACTGAGTCCCCATGTCCTCCAGGTGGCAGTTTGCAAACAACAATAACATCTCTGAAAGCTGTGGTGGAAAACCAGGAGCAGGAACTGCAAGCAGGTGAGAGGCCCTCCAGGAGTGAGTGTGCAAGGGTGGGGGCCGGGCTCTCAGGACAGAGGTGGGGTGGGAGCAGCCTGGGGTGCTGAGTGCCCTCCCCTCCAGCCCGTAGCCTGAATGACAAGGTGTTTTCTCTGGAGAGCAAGCTGGAGAAAGAGCAGCAGGAACTCAAAGCAGGTCAGGCCCCTTCTCCCCTGCCCCTGGGCCTGATGTGGTGGGAGAGCATGGAGGGCCCTCAGCTGGGCCCCCTGCATTGTCCCCACTGCCCTTCTGTGTGCCCCAGGTCATTCTGAAATGCTCCTGCAAGTCCAGAAACTCGTCAAAGGCCTGAACTCCCTGAATTGTCAGATGGCTGCGCTCAAGAGCAATGGTGAGTGGTGGAGGGCAGTGCCTAGCCCCATATTCTGCCCATGTTGGGCAGCATATGAGATCCTCCTCCCTTTCCACCTCAGGCTCTCAAAATACCTGCTGTCCCATTAACTGGCTGAAGCATGAAGGCAGCTGCTACTGGGTCTCTGGTACTGGGAAGCCCTGGCCCGAAGCCGAGAAGTACTGCCAGCTGCAG